CGCGAACGCTGTCTACGCTGGCCAGATCGGCAGCACAAAGTCAGCTCCTGGCTCGGCCGGCTGCACGGAGCCTGAACTATCTGTGCGAGGCCAGCGCGGGGGCAGAGGCTCAAGATGTGGAGGTGGGAGGAGTCATTCCTCCTGCCTGCGCTGACTCTCCCATGGGGAATTCTGTCCTCACCTGAAATGCCCCCATCCTCCTGCGCGGGAGGAGACTGCTGCTCACGAAGTGGTTGGAGGCCAGGCCTGCTCTCAGGACTCCTGGGTTCCGTTGCCAGCTCCGCAGCTGACTTCGCCCTGGTGACCCTGGGCGTGCGGCTCGATCTCCCTGTGCCTAGGTCTGTGAAACTCACCTGGGGTGAGACGGCACTTTGAAATCCGCCATGGATTCTATCCACGCACTCCTGCAAACCTGGGCATGCCCCAGACTCCCCTCTCTGCTTCCCCCTGCCCTGACCCCCCAGGAAATGGGGGGGTTGCACTGCCCAGTAATGCTGTGTAGTGCAGTGTCTTACACACATACTCAGGCAAGCCTGTCTTTGTCCCAGACTGTAGGACGGAGGAGAATCCCAGGGTTGTGGTAACTCCTCTCTGCCCACGTGGCCGCCCCCTCGCACCCTGTCTTCCTCTCTGCTGCCTTCTCGGTTCGCCCTCTTCCCCTGGCACACTCTCTCGTTTGCCCAGGAATGGCATGAGAAGCAAGTTGCCACCGTGCAGGCGGGTTCCTGGGGCCCTCCCCTGGGGGACGCCGGAAGTCTCGTGATTAAATATTTAACGTACTGGCCCAACTCCGACAGTTTTCCAAAGCCGGAATATTATTGGCTGGTTTCATTTTTTGGTTGGCGCTCAGCGCTTTCCTCGGCCGCCATTTGGGGTAATGACTGAGGGCGGGGTAGGCAACCTGCAGCACGCGTGCCAAAGGTGGCAGCAAGCTGATATTCAGTAGTACTCACGCTGCCTGGGTCCTGGCCACCGGTCCGGGGGGCTCCACATTTTAATTTAATTTTAAATGAAGCTTCTTAAACATTTTAAAAACCTTGTTTACGTACAACAATAGCTTAGTTATATATTATAGACTTATAGAAAGAGACCTTCTAAAAACGTTAAAAAGTATGACTGGCACGTGCAACCTTAAATTAGGGTGAATAAATGGAGGACTTGTGGCACCTTAGAGACTAACCAATTTATTTGAGCCTAAGCTTTCGTGAGCTACAGCTCACTTCATCGGATGCATTCAGTCGCGGCACACCACTTCTGAAAGGTGGTCGACCCCTGACTTAGGGATTCCCCAGGCTGTTTAGTGTTAGTCTGCTCAGTGAGTGTGGGACTGAGACCCCGGAGACCCAGGGTGAGCGACTGCAGGGCAAATGCAGCTTCAGGAAGTTAAAAAGATGTGGGATTTGTCTTTGTGTTAAACGTAAACTACTTTGGAGAACTTTTAGTTTACAGCTAGTGGTGTCTAGGGGTATGGCAAGAGACTCCGGACTCCTGGGTTCTTTCCCCAGGTTTGGGATGGGAATGTGGTCTAGGGGTAAGAGAAAGGGACTGGGAGGTGAGGCTCCTGTGTTCTTTCCCCAGCTCGGGGGAGGGAGTTTTGTCTCGGGGTTAGCGCAGGGAACTGGGAGTCAGGACTGCTCAGTTCTGTTGTGTGCTCTGGATCCATTGTGTGAAGTCCTTTCCCCGCCCATGCCTTGGCCTTTCTGTAAAACCAGGATCATGTTTATCCACAGTGCAGGGCAGTTTGTGAAGCTTAATTAATGTTCATAAAGCACCCCTCCCCCCACCCCCGACAGTGCTCTAGAAAATGCAAAGCGTGATTCCGGTGGAAAGATGCTACGCTTTCAATCAGTGAAAGGGAGGGACACCCCAGCTCCGTCCCCTATTCCCCCCACCCTCCCGGCTAAAGTTCTCTCCCTCGCTCATGGGACAGTGTGTGTCTCGGTAGCCCCATGGGGGAAGGAGTCCTAGAAAGGCAAATCGAGATCTAAGGGGCAGCTGAAGGCTGCCACCGGGCTAGGACTCCACATTTAGGATGAAAAGGCCCCCAGGCCCCAGTGTTTAAGGGCTGAGCTTCTCCTTGCGTAACGCTCAGGATGTATGGAGCTCTGGTCCCCACAACGGGGAAAGGGAAAGCAGAAATGCTGGGACTGCACAATGGCGAGCTCGAGCATTTCACGGGCTTATGCTGCCTTCCCAGCCCTGGTTTTGCTCGTGCTCATACCTAGAGCTGATGGAAACGGGGCCTCCTCCCTTTGGCAGAGCTGCGGCTGCTTACATCTGCTCTGAGCGTGGCCCTGAATCACTGTTTGGAAACCAGATTTCCCCCCCACCCCAAACACAACCCCCCGCATCCCATGGTAATAGGTGTATTGTAAGATATGCATCGGACTGTCCGCTGCAGTTTGACGGGGGTGGAAGAGTTGACCAGGGAGAGCTAGACGGGGCGGCTGGTCTGACATGTTCTGAAGGGGGAAATCCAGGCTGAATCCAGCTGCCGGGTGCAGTGTCCCAAAGGCAATGATGGAAAATCCCCCCCCCCCCCCCGCACCTTTCGAGACCCTGTAGCCTGGAGAATGCGTTGCGGGGAATGATTCTGGGCTAGCCCCGAGGAAGGACTACGGGAGTGAATGGGCCTTTCCCACTTCTGTCTTCATTAGGTCCTTGCTCTCCTGGGCTAGGCCCAGGGCATGTTTCAGATTGGAAAAGGAAGCCACAGTTGAGTTACCCGAGAACAGAACATAGAATCATAGAATCATAGAATATAAGGGTTGGAAGGGACCCCAGAAGGTCATCTAGTCCAACCCCCTGCTCGAAGCAGGACCAATTCCCAGTTAAATCATCCCAGCCAGGGCTTTGTCAAGCCTGACCTTAAAAACCTCTAAGGAAGGAGATTCTACCACCTCCCTAGGTAACGCATTCCAGTGTTTCACCACCCTCTTAGTGAAAAAGTTTTTCCTAATATCCAATCTAAACCTCCCCCACTGCAGCTTGAGACCATTACTCCTCGTTCTGTCATCTGATACCATTGAGAACAGTCTAGAGCCATCCTCTTTGGAACCCCCTTTCAGGTAGTTGAAAGCAGCTATCAAATCCCCCCTCATTCTTCTCTTCTGCAGGCTAAACAATCCCAGCTCCCTCAGCCTCTCCTCATAACTCATGTGTTCCAGACCCCTAATCATTTTTGTTGCCCTTCGCTGGACTCTCTCCAATTTATCCACATCCTTCTTGAAGTGTGGGGCCCAAAACTGGACACAGTACTCCAGATGAGGCCTCACCAATGTCGAATAGAGGGGAACGATCACGTCCCTCGATCTGCTCGCTATGCCCCTACTTATACATCCCAAAATGTCATTGGCCTTCTTGGCAACAAGGGCACACTGCTGACTCATATCCAGCTTCTCGTCCACTGTCACCCCTAGGTCCTTTTCCGCAGAACTGCTGCCTAGCCATTCGGTCCCTAGTCTGTAGCTGTGCATTGGGTTCTTCCGTCCTAAGTGCAGGACCCTGCACTTATCCTTATTGAACCTCATCAGATTTCTTTTGGCCCAATCCTCCAATTTGTCTAGGTCCTTCTGTATCCTATCCCTCCCCTCCAGCGTATCTACCACTCCTCCCAGTTACATCTGGAGCATGTCTTGGTGCCTCGTGCCCCACCCAGGTTCCTCGGAAGAGGCCGAACTGAATCTCTCCATGTTCCCTTGATTTGAGCTCTGGCTCCGTACCTGAGCAGCACCCCCGGCCCGGCTCCCTCCACCCATCTGCTGTAGCTTTCGGAAGCAGCCTCCTGTTTTCCCCCTGCGGCCCGCTAGCTCCCCTGTTCTCTGCTGCCATCTCGGGGCCACATGTGTCCCCTGCAGGTCAATCCGGTTTGTTAAAGTTTTGCTGGGGAAACCTGTCTCGTACGATGATGATTTTATTCTTTGCACTGACGTAGTGTCAAGCATGGACCATGCTCAGGCCTGCACAAACACAGAGCGAAAGACAGTCCCGGCCCCAGACAGCTTCCAATCACGGTATCTTGTCGAAGGATAGTAAAACCTTGCGGCTCAGAATAGCGTTTGGGGTTGAAATTCCCTCCTCCTTCCTCACGCCCTGTAGAACGAAAGAAGTGAAGCCTTTAACCCTTCTGAGCCAGTATTCACCCGCCCCCCCAGCACCCAAATCACCTACAGCACCTGTCCCTTGCTGTTATCCCTCAGCACCTTCCCCTTGAGTGGGGAAGCTGCTGTTTATATGGACAGCTTTGGTAGCTTGCCCTTGAGGTCCTTATTCCAGCCCTGGTCATGCGTGCCTTTGGCGGGCGCCTTACTGTGGGTGCGAAGGTAGAATGATGCTGCCATGTGCTGGAGCTGGAGCAAGCCAGGCCAGGGGTCATGTCTCTCGATCCCTGGGGTCCTGAGCAGGGCTCCTGGCAGGAAGAAACACTGTGTAGGTTCTGAACTGGAATCGAGATGTCGGATTATACCCCACTGATTTTGCCCGTGCTCAGCTCCAGAAGCCGTGCTGTTGGCAGGCAAAGACCCTGCCAGTCTTACGCGGGTGCTGCTACGTGCTAGTGATTTCATTAAGCCTCTGCCGTCCTGGGTCTAATTCGGGACGAGCTCCCCGCACGCTCCTGGTCTTGCAGGTGTTACCAAAGTCTGGCTGGACGATGCAGCTGGTTCTGGCATACTTGGTACCGGCTGGGCATTTGGGATAGCTGGTCCCCATGTGGGACTCGTGATTAGGCAGGGTGTCTGGGCTGTTTGCATCTGCCTGAAATGCCAGAATGCCCTCCCTCTCCCGCAGCAGTATCCAGTCGCCCCAGAATGAATGCAGAGCAGGGTAAGGTCTGGGCATGGCTGCATCCCAGCTGATCCTGGGAAGCTGGCAGCGATGGTGGGCACCAGGGGCTGGAATGGAGTGCGTCTCACCCATCCAGATGGGCTCACGGCACCTGCTGTACCGCCAGGCTGCTGGATCGATGCCTGCTAATCTGCTCCAATCATTTGTTTTTTCAGATTCCTCCTAGTCTTCAGTTGTTTGGTGCTGTCCGTGTTCTCCACCATCCCAGAGCATCAGAAACTAGCCAACCAATGTCTGTTCATCCTGGTAAGGAGGGGACTTTATAAACCTCTCTAGTCTTATCTCCTAACGAGTCGTGTCTTCCCATTTTTCACACCAGGGCTGTAGCCATGATGCCCTAGGGAATTCTGTCATCTCTCATTAGGAGTGGATGTGAACTGAGGCTAGCGTCAGCATACAGGAGGGGAACGTAGGTCTCTCCTACACGCAGTGATTGCACCAGTTTAGCTCCAGGGGTGATATAAAATCTGTGCAACTTTGCATGTGGACGCTCTTACCAGATCAGTTTTAACCTGGCTTTCCTTCCTGGTGTAACTTGCACAGGTGAATTACAAGTGACCTGGTTTGCCCAAGATCTGTGGCACAACTGAGGCTCGAACCCAAGAGAACCCACTCTGCAGCCTCCTCCATTAGGCCAATCTGCCACGGCTCTCATTGCTGCGAGAGGTTTGCAGGAGTGATTCACTGTTGCAATAAATGCAAAAGCAGCGCAGCGGAGCTGCACAATCTTCTGGAGGATTTTTAAATGGAGACGCTCCAGTGGAATGTGTCTGGGAAGCCTATAGCCAAATGTATGGACATGCAAAAAAACAACTGGAAAGGGAGGGGGAAAGAAACCTAAAAAAAGCAACTTTCCCCCGAACTGTCAGAAACAGCTGACACTGGATTTCTCCCGACTGTGATGGAGACTAAATTAGGAAGGTCCTTGTGACTTTCTCGCTAGTAAGCAAAATAGGGGCTGGAGTGTACAAAAGGTAGGAGGCAAAGCAGTACAATGCTGACAGTGGAAGAAAATTACCCACATATATTTAAGCTGGGCACATGCAGGAGGAGCAGGGCGGCTCCCAAAAGCTCCGCAGTTGAGGGCTCCTGGCTCGTCTCCTTGACTTTCCCGGTGAACAGGGAGGCGTGAAGCCGTTTGCTTAGCTGCTCAGCATTGAAGCTCTGGTTTCCTAAGGACCTAAGCCAAAATCCAGTGAAGTCCATGGGAATCGTTGCATTGATTGGCGTGGGTTTGAGGTTGGGCCCTGGTAAGGAGGGGACTTCATAAGCCCCTCTATTCTTATCTCCTAGCTAGCCGTGTGCTCCCAGTTTCCCCCTCTTCTCACACCTGGGCTAAAGCCACAGTGGCTTAGGGAATTCTTTCATGTCCCATTCACACGCTTCCTCCGAGAGGCCAGCAGGAGTGGATGTGAACTGAGGCCAGCTGTGAGGGTGGGGAACGTAGGTCTCTCCTACACACAGCGATTGCACCAGTTTAGCTCCAGGGGTGATAAAAAAATCTGTGCAACTTTGCATGTGGATGCTCTTACCTGATCAGTTTTAACCTGGCTTTCCTTCCTGGTGTAACTCGCACAGGTGAGTTACCTGCCTGGCTGGGAAAATGTCTAGGACACACTCATGCACGCACCTCTCTTGTCTACACTGGCGTTTGCCTCACGGTCTCTTGTCGCTGATGGTCCCAGTGACGAGAGGGTTGTTACAGACAAAACACCACTGCCTTTGCCACCTGTCCCGAGCCCGGTGAGATGGCGCAATGGTTAACGTCCCATCAGTGGGTCTCCCGGTTGCTGGTGCGGCGTTAGAGGACTGCGCGTCTTATCTCGGCGAAGGCTGGTGTTCTGCCGCCACTTCTTGGAGCACGTCTACACGGCGCGAAGAAACCCGAAGCACCGAGTCGCAGAGCCTGGGTCAGCTCACGGGGCTCGGGCGGAGGGGCTAAAAATCACAGTGTAGACATTTGGGCTCGGGCTGCAGCCCGGGATCTGAGATCCACCCCGCTTGCAGGGCTTCAGAGCCTGGGCTCCGGCCCGAGCCTGAATGTCTACGTCGCAATTTGTAGCCCTGCACCTGAGCCCAAGTTGCCGTGGGTGTTTTATTGCAGTGTAGACGTACCCTGGTGGCATAGGTGCTGGAACTAGGGGTGCAGGGGGTGCAGCAGCACCCCTGGCTTGAAGTGGTTTCCATTATATCCAGGGTTTACAGTTTGGTTCAATGGCTCTCGGCACCCGCACTGTACCAATTGTTCCAATGTCCCTGCTAGGTAGCATGAATGACCACGGGGTGCAGGCAAGGATGATCTGGGCTCACGATGTCAAACAAGGCAGGATCCCGGCATCTAGATCCTCCAGGGCTGGGTGCAATTCCTTCATCCCCATCACCTTGGATTGTCTAGTGTAGCCTCTGCCCCAGGGGAGAGACGGAAACCTGCCCCCGTGTTCTCAACACTTATCGCTCAAGAGCAAACCGGAGGCCCCTCTGCAATCGGATCAGCAGTTTTGCTCTGGTCACGTTTCCAGCTCCCTCCAGCCAGCCCAGAGATGTTCTAACGAGAGGATCCATTATCGGGGGTTCCATTATCCAGCATTAGCCCCGTGGAGTCCCTGGGAGAACTGCCTGCTCCACAGCTGATTTCAGTCCACGCTCGTGCTGAGGGTGCCTGAGAACCGCCCGGGTGGGGGTGACTTGAATCCAGCACCGAGCCTTGCAGCAAGCACCCACGAGAGCCTTTGCTGCAAACATGGGGCCAGTGGGGCTGGCAGGGCTGGCCCTAGGATGGAAAGGGAAGGGATTTTATACTTAGGAGGCAGGTCCCCAGGTCCCTCTGCCCTCTGCAGGCTCCTGTTTCTGGCTGCAAGGTCTGTGCAGGTTTGTCTAGCCAGGCAGGGGTCACCTGGAGGATGCCTCTCTGCAAAGGGAATGAGGAGCCAGCTGACCCCCTCAGGCGTGACTCAAATGAAGGTTCACACACAGTCCCAGAGGCTTTTACAGGCAGCTGCACTCCGGGCCCTCCCAGATTAACCAACCCAGTCTCTCTCTCTCTCTCTCTCTCTGTCCTCCCACCCCCACTCCGGCAGGAGTTTGTCATGATTGTGGTGTTCGGCATGGAGTACATCATCCGCATCTGGGCAGCTGGCTGCTGCTGCCGTTACCGGGGCTGGCAGGGGCGGTTCCGCTTTGCCCGGAAACCCTTCTGCGTAATAGGTAGGTGCGGGTGAGGGAAGCCGCCCGATGCACCCTGTTTCACGCTGCGTCCGAGTGTCCTGCTCAGTGATGGGGTGGGGGGAGACCTCAGAGCAGCTGGAACCCAGGCCGCTGTTTGGGGAAGGACCTGATGTGGGTACTTCTCCGGACAGGACCGGCTGAGGGTGGGGTGAAGCCTTTTCTCTGTGCCTCCTGGGCCTGATCCCAGCGTTTCAGGAGCTGGCAGCGGGTCTGGGTCGGGCCGAGTTCCAGAGAAGAGCAGGGGTTCTAGGATCCGACCGGGGCTTAGATTTCACTTTGAAGTGGGCTTGAGGCAGGGGGGTTTCCGTTCCTGCGCCATCCATGCCCCTTTGGGGTGGCGCTGGTCGCTATTTGGGGGCGATGGCTAGCCCTGGGCAGGCAGGGAAGGGTCTGTGGCTTTGATCAATGCGATTAGAGGGACACCGGGTCACATCCGGAGGGGGAGGGAATTGCAAAAGTGGAGATCTTCCGAAGAGGGCAGCGGGATGGTCCCCCTCCCCAAAACGCCCGGTGGATGGTGGAGAGAGCTCTTCCAGCCCAGAGACTAGAGCGAGGCATTGACTGCCTCCTGCTGTAGGGTTGTAGCCGCACCACCATCACTGTGACACTCTCCTACCGTAAGTGGCCAGGGCGAGGGGACCAGCCAAGGAGGATAATCTTGACTGACCCAGTGGCCTTTCCCCTCACTCTGGGGTATTATCAGCTGTGCAGTCCGGGCTCTCGGAGACTGACCCACTTGCAAAGGGCAGTCGGTCATGTAGGGCCAGTCTGGGGAGAATGGAAACCTCAGGGGACATGAAGGGGGAGGGACCAGTGATAGACTTTCCCCCCACTGCTAGCCTGTTCCAGGAGTGCTCAGAAGCCGGTCCGGGGAGATGTGTCCTTGGCAGATGTGATGCTCTGGGGATGAGACCCATGCGAGCTCCTAGGCAGGTGGGGTGGGATGTATCCCGTGCTGGGCAAAGCTAGGATCCTTTGTGTGTGTGTCTGCAAACTGGACGCGATCTGGGCGAGGTTTGTTGCACTGCCCTCAAAGGGAGGTTGTCAGCACTGGGGATGAAAAATAGGAATGTTTTAATTGCCAGGGATGGGGGTCCATGGCTTGTGCTATCAGCTCGAGGGGGAGGTTATGGCTGGCTCTGCTAGTGAGTGGGGAGGGGTATTGGGGCTGGCTCCCCCAGAGAGGTGTAACTGGGGGTGGGGAGCACAGGTTGGTTTTGCTGGTGAGTGGGGATCTCGAGGCTTGTTTTTCCCACAGTTCCAACCACCTGCATTTGAAGGGGGTAAAGGTTGCATCCCTAGAACCACAATACCCGCTAGCCAGCTACCCCTTCCCCCCGTCCCTGCCACCCTGCTAGCCAGCTAACCTCTCCCCCGTTCCTGCCACCCTGCTAACCAGCTACCCCCTCCCCGTCCCTGCCACCCTGCTAGCCAGCTACTCCGTCCCCGTCCCTGCCACCCTGCTAGCCAGCTACCCTCTCCCCCGTTCTCTGCCACCCTGCTAGCCAGCTTCCCTCTCCTCCGTTCCCGCCACCCTGCTAGCCAGCTTCCCTCTCCCCCGTTCCCGCCACCCTGCTAGCCAGCTTCCCTCTCCCCCGTTCCCGCCACCCTGCTAGCCAGCTAACCTCTCCCCCGTTCCCACCACCCTGCTAGCCAGCTACCCTCTCCCCGTCCTTGCCACCCTGCTAGCCAGCTAACCTCTCCCCCATTCCCACCACCCTGCTAGCCAGCTACCCCCTCCCCGTCCCTGCCACCCTGCTAGCCAGCTAACCTCTCCCCCATTCCCACCACCCTGCTAGCCAGCTACCCTCTCCCCGTCCTTGCCACCCTGCTAGCCAGCTACCCCCTCCCCGTCCGTGCTAGCCAGCTACCCCCTCCCCGTCCCTAGCCAGCCTCCCCGTCCCCGCCACCCTGCTAGCCAGCTAACCTCTCCCCTGTTCCCGCCACCCTGCTAGCCAGCTACCCCCTCCCCGTTCCTGCCACCCTGCTAGCCAGCTACCCCCTCCCCGTTCCTGCCACCCTGCTAGCCAGCTAACCTCTCACCCGTTCCCGTCACCCTGCTAGCCAGCTACCCCCTCCCCGTCCCTGCCACCCTGCTAGCCAGCTACTCCGTCCCCGTCCCTGCCTCCCTGCTAGCCAGCTAACCTCTCCCCCGTCTCCCTGTGCTCTGGGTCGCAGATTTCATCGTGTTCATCGCCTCGCTGGCCGTTATCGCCGCCGGCACACAGGGGAACATCTTCGCCACCTCGGCACTGCGCAGCATGCGCTTCCTCCAGATCCTGCGGATGGTGCGCATGGACCGCAGGGGGGGCACCTGGAAGCTGCTGGGCTCAGTGGTCTATGCCCACAGCAAGGTGAGCTGGAGGAGGGCGCTGGCCCGGGGGTGGGGCTGGGTTTCAGCATCGGCGCCACGGGAGGCAGGCGGTAGTAAAAGAGACAGGGCAGAGCCGGGCACAGTGTGGACTGGTGCTTCCAGCTTTGCCCCTGCCGCTCAATCCTGGCCGAGAGTCCCCTGCTCTGCCCAGGGCTCCCCATCACCCTGACCTGCAGCACCCCTGCTAGTGCAGTCCTCCCCCGTGCTTTGTTGTGGCCATTGCCCGTTCCCCTGTACAGTGCAAATAGGTCGGGCCTGGCTCCTTCTATTGGCCCCCGTCGCTAGTATCTGAGCACCTCGCAGGCTTGAATGTATTTAACCTCACAGTGGGGCTATGATCTCCATCGTCCAGATGAGGAAACTGAGGCACAGCGTGACTTGTCCAAGATTGCACAGGGGCATCTGTGGTAGAGCAGGGACTTGAACCCAGCGGTCCGCCCTAGTCCTAGGAGGGCACCCTCACCACTGAGCCGTCCTTCCGCTCTTCCCCTGTTAACCTCCTATGTCTCCCCGTTCCTTTCGGAACCGACCCAGCCGCCCATGGCCTCGCCCCAGTCAACCACGTGGAACGTTCCCCTCCAGTCACTTAGTGCCGGCGGCCTCTCCATGCGTGCGCAAGAGCCTTCTCCTCTGCAGCTGCTGCTGCGTGTGAGCAGCTCCCTGCCGGTGGCGCCTCTCTGCCCCTTTGCCAGTAGCAAGTGCTCAGCTCCGGCTGGGGCGGCATCCCGGGCGCTCTGCAGAGGGGACGTTGCATTGTGCTGTGTCGTGTCTTGGGCCTTCACCCCCACCCCATCTTGGCTTTCCTCCCCTGCCCTCCCCACCTGCCCTTGGCAGGAGCTGATCACAGCCTGGTACATCGGCTTCCTGGTGCTCATCTTCGCCTCCTTCCTCGTCTACCTGGCCGAGAAAGACGCCAACACGGAGTTCGCCACCTACGCTGACTCGCTGTGGTGGGGCACAGTAAGTGCGGCTACAGAGCCCCGCTCCCACTGGGGGGGGGCGCGGTGCGGGCTGGGTGGGGGGCGGGGCGAGGAGAGCTCCGTCAAGGCCTCTCTGTGTTCTCTCCCCCTGCAGATCACGCTCACCACCATCGGCTACGGGGACAAGACCCCCAATACGTGGCTGGGCAGGGTGCTGGCGGCCGGCTTCGCGCTCCTGGGTATCTCCTTCTTCGCTCTGCCTGCTGTGAGTAGCCCCTCGCGGCATCCCGGTAACGCCTGGCGCTGCCGAGGGAGGGGGGAGAGCCAGGCCTCTGGGTCCCTAGTTGCTCATGCTGGCAGTCGGGGGTGCCCTGGGGAGGGCAGACAGCTGGAAGTACCCCCTACCCTCCAGTGCTCCTTAAAGGGACCCTGCCCAGTGGCTGAGACTCCAGAATAGACCCTGCCCTAGAGATGTCATTGGTCATTCTCCGCCTTCATTTTCTTTTCACTTTCCTTCTTTTCTTTTCTCTCTTCCTTTCTCTTTTCTCTTTCTCTTTTTGTCCCTTTTCCCCTCCTCCTTCCTTTCTCTCCTTCTCTCTCTTCCTCCCGTCCCTCAAGAGAAGAGCAATGCCAGACAGAATGGTGGCACCCAATACCCCACCCTGCCCCAATGTCTCCAGCTAGGGACTGCTGGCTCCTCGCTGATCTCTGGAGCTGCCAGGCCCCTGGGGGAGGAGAGAGGGTCTGGCAGAGCCAACAGAGTCCTAGTTTTGGGGGGCCTCTTTGCTCCCTCCCAAAGAGTGGATTGTCCTGCTAGCCAGATGGGGGGCGTTGGCAAGTTTGGAGTCCTTCTCCTCCCACAGACTCTGAGCAGTCTGTGTTCATGCTGGGATGACAGAGGGATGCTTCCTTAGGACCCCGCAGGTCTGTGGGGATCAGACTGTGTTGGGGCAGTTTGTCCAGCTGCCGCACGGGGCCAGGCAGGTTCTCCATCCCATTTCACGCATGCTGGCCCCTTTCTCCTGCAGGGCATTCTGGGCTCCGGCTTTGCCCTGAAAGTCCAGGAGCAGCATCGCCAGAAACACTTTGAGAAGAGGCGGATGCCGGCAGCGAACCTGATCCAGGTACCGCAGGACGCCTGCGCCTCTCCCTGGGGAAACCCCACCCTCCACCTTGGTCTGGAGTCACTACACAGCTCTGCTGATGGCCCGCTAGCTCAGCCTGCAGGTTGCCCCTCAGCTCCCCCGTACAGCTCTGCCAATGCCCCTCGATCCGCACATGCAGCCTGGACCCTCTGCGATTGCAGATTTCGGCTCCCCCATATAAACACAATTGTGCCAATGCCCCTCAATCTGAACATTCAGCCCAGCACTGCCTGCTATCCCAACCTGGTGCCTCCCCACTCTGCAGATACCCGTCATTCCCCCCCCCCCCCTTTTCTGCTCCGGAAGGTACGGCTCTGCAGATACACCTTAATCTGCAGCCCCCCTGCTCTTCCAGCCTTGGGCTCTCCATGCGCACAGCTCTGCCAGGGCCCCTCCGTCCGGATTTGCACGCTTCAGCACATCTGACATGTACCTTGGCGAGGTAGCCTGTAGCCGAGCCCCCGAGCTTGCGGAGGGGGGCCCTGGCAAATCAGTCCCCTTGTCTAGATCAGCTTGCTAGAGAAGTGAAACTTCAGAATCCTTCCTTATCTCCCCAGTTCAGAGAACAGGCGCACAAAAGGAAGCCCCCGGTGCCCCTAGTCTATCTGCAGCTGCCAGCCAGTCAGTTGGCCCTGGCTTTCACAGCTCCCCGGCCCTCTGAATGCAGCCTTGCTCCTCCTTTCATCTTGGCGGCGGGGAAGGAAAAAGCCTGACGTTAATTAATGGAGTTGGGCATGGGGTGAGACAAAGGCCCCCACCTGCCCGTCCCCTGCAATACAAAGCAATCGCCAGGACACGCGGCAACCCCCCCACCCCAATAACTCTGGCCATTGCTGTCCGGCATTCATCAGGCACGGATGTGCCGTGGGTGCAGATGGGAGGCCGCGAGGTCTCCGATAAGGCTCCCCATTGTGATCGCTCCTTAATTAATGGCACCAGCTTCTTGGGAGTGTTACCTGAAGCCTCAGCGAGAGGCTAGCCTGGGGAGAAAAGCTTGAAACAGGAAGGTGTGGGGGTGTGGGTGAGAAGAGCAGAAAGCTGGGTTCTCCACTCCAGCTACGCCAGTTTCACGTCAGCATGTCTGGCGCAGGCGGAGCTGCTGGGGGGGGGCTAGGCCCCGTGCTGTCCCCACCTCATCCCCAGCGAAGCAGTGGAGAGCTTCCCGCTGACTGCTTTCCTAGCTGGCCCCGCGGTGCACCAGGGAGTGAGCAGCATTTGCCCAACCCTAGTATTTTAATGACCAGGGGGATCCCCCCCACACCCTTCTTTCCTGTGCTCCCCTCCGATCAGCTCTGAGCCTGTTTGACCGTTCCCCAGCCCGCAGCCTGGGCGTCTGGCTGGGGAAGAGGCATGTGCACCGTCCAAGGACAGGGGGTGCTAATGCACCCGATGCACCCCCGCAGGAATGTGGGGGGGTGGATCAATGGGCTCCAGGTGGCAGCAAGAGGTGCTGACTCACGGCCTGCGGCTGCTGTTTGCTGCTCAGGCAGAATTGGATCCCCCCACCGGGGTCTGTTCCAGGGCGGGGGTGGAACTGGAAGTGAATTTTGATGCCCTCAGAGGGCCTGTGGGGGCAAGCGCAGCTCAGGACAAAGCTGCTTTGAGATGCCAGGATGAGAACTCCTGCCTGCAGCCTCAGACCTCAACCCCGAGTCATAGAGCAGGGCACAGCAAGCTCCCACGTGCACAGCTGTGCCCAGCCACCTCTGGCCTGACCCTGCAGCATTCACAACTATTCCAGTCCTGGGTTCCCCGTTCACTCATCCACTGATCCCTTAGCATCCCTTGGCACCACCCTCCCAGTGCCCCTCGGTCCTGCCAACAGCACCTCTCCCTGCACTGCCAGTTCCTGGCGTCTCCTCCATGGACACGACCAGTTGTGCCATGTCTGCCGCACCATCCCTCTCTCCCTGGTGCAGGCAGCCTGGCGCCTGTATTCGACAGACGTGAGCCGAGCCTACCTGACCGCCACCTGGTGTTACTATGACAGCATTCTCCCATCCTTCAGGTAGGTGCCGCCCCACACGGGTGACCACAGACTGAGTGCTGTGTGGGGAGGGGAAAGGGTGGTCCCTGCCATCTAGCAGTCAACTCATCCGAGAGCAGAGGAGTATGCAGGGCTCTGAAGGTCAATCACCTCGGTGTCTGTTGAGGGCAAGCGAGAGCAGGATTCGGCCCTGCATCCTGGACGACCCACCAGGGTTTGGGAGCAGTGTGGATGTGAGCAGCTTTGCCCCAGGAACTGGGTATGTAGCCTGGTGTTGCTCATCGCTGCCTTCCCAGCCAGCCCTCTGGCTGCCGGGCACAGCAGAGGTGGTGGAGATGCCTTGTGCTGCTGGGGAGGCTGGATTCCCATTGCTGTCCCCGGAAAAGGACGGGGCGGGGGGCACCGAGGCAGGGTGCAGAATTATCCCCCCGGCACCAAGGGCGTTGACGGAGGGAGAGGGCCGAGTCCCAGGTTAGCTGATGGAGTTAACCCTTCCAGCATCATGACAGATCAAAACTCCAGAGCCAGTGCACCATGGTCACTCTCTGGAGATGCAGTCTCTCTAGGGTCGTCCCTGTGAGGGAACCGCTGGAATCTCTGCATCTTGACAACTGGTCACGTGACCGTGATGCCCAAATGTCCTTCCAGACAGAGCAGTTTATCAGAGCTGGTGCCATCAGGCATGTATTCCAGAGCCCACTCGGTTTAATGAGGCAAGACTCCATATGCTCTCCCGAGGCACGTACTGTGGGCATCTAGCGGTAGAATTCCTAGCATCCTTTCTGGGGAGGAGGGCGGGAAAGTGAGGCACGGACTGGACCCTGGTCTATGATTCCAGACTTCGAGGCACCCCTGGAGCTGAGATGTCAAACACTGCAAGCCAGTGTCTGTTCTCCCCCGTTGCACGGGAGGCTAACGAGAGCCGTCCCACTGAAGTCAGTGTGGTAACCTGGGTGTCGGTGCAGTCGGAACCAGGCTCAAGGCCCCGAAGTTGACTCGATGGTCCGAGACCTGAAACACACAGTCAGGCTGAGATTTCTCTTAACCCTTCCTATGCTGGCATTTCCCAGCCTCCCAGCCCATCAAATCTATATACACAGCCATGAGGACCAGAATTCCTTTGGACAGTGGAAATAACTTAACTTAAATGGGTGGGGGAGGGAGGGGAGGAATAGGGGTGCTTGGGTTGCCAAATAAAGGTTTTGCAGTTAATAGCTTCCCCAGAACGGAGCCCCTTCTCATCAAGGTGGGTTGGGAGAGGAGGCGGAGCTGAACTTTCTATCCAGCCCATTCATAAAGGGCGAAATCAGCTTTGCTCTTCCCCCATCATCCTCTGTCTTCTGCAGAGCTAGCTTCTGTGGGGCGCAGGGGTGGAATGGAGCCGCTGCTAAACTTCCTGACTTCCTCCTCCATCATCCTCCATCACGCTCAGGGGCCACTCCCTTCGAAGACCCGCGACCTCTGCATCCATTCCAGCCCTACCCGCTCTGTCTCTCTCCCTCCCATAGCGTTTCCCAGCTAAGCTGGAGCCCTGCTGGTGATGGGACCGAAGTGGACGGATTCCGCTGGTGGCTGCTGTTGAAATTAGCTGGAGCCGGGAGGATTGCTCGGCGCTCTGAGACCTGGGATTGACTGGCTGCAGGCCAGCCCCATAGGTCACCTGTGGGGAGTGGGGGGCAGAGTAGAAAAGACAATGTTTGTGTAAGGGAGGAAGGAGGTAAAGGCCCTTTGGGTATCCACGGATGCTGCCTCCCCTGTTAAATTGACCCACCTCCTTTGCCCTTCCCCCTGCATCCTCTAGGAATACACTGTTGGAAGGGGAATTCCCAAGGCCTCTGACGCTAAGAAATAGCGTTGTGTAGGGAGACAACACCCTGGATTGTCATTGCTTCTGGATTGTCCAGTTGTGTCCATCCACAATGTATCTGTGTTGCTGGTCTGTACAGGGCAGGGTCTGGCTCTGTGTTGTAAATTGTACAGCGCCAAGCGCACTGATATTAGGCAAATAATAAAATTGCCCCACTTTACACCGGCATGTTTGAGTCAGGGAAGGAAACATGCCTACCCCCAGAGCTTGACCCCCTCCCTTTCCGCTGCTAACCATGGATTTAGGTTTTGTCTGCTTTGTTCTGCAGTGGGTGGTTTTGTTTCTGTGCGATGACCCGTGGTTTTATTTTACAAAGACAGAATTCTTAGCAGCCTGAAACACAAATCCCTCAATTCCCAGCAGCACCCAAGAGAAGATCTGTCCTTCTGTGCAGCACCACGGTGCAGAAACTGAGCCGAGGTATCAAACTGCGAAGAACTGCCATAAGTTAGAATCCCCATTAGCTTCTCTGTCACTTTTGAGCCCGTCCCATTCAGAAGACTGTTTAGTGTGCGGGTTGTTTTTAAAGTAAACATCAGAGGAAGAGCCCAGAGTTGGATCCAAACTTCCCCAGAGTTCAGCATCTTTCAGACATAGGCGTAGTTTAAAGGGGAGGAGGGAGGTGTTGCACCCCTGAACTGCAAGCTTCAGGCAGGCTCAGAATTTTCCCCCCAACATGAGGCCCCATTGGCCTGACTGGAGCTTCCCCCCCAAATGTAGAAGTCAAACTACACCTATGCTCTCATGCTATTTCACAGTTTGAGAGAGAGAGGAAGGCCCTCTGACATGATAGTTCAAGTCCCTGCTCTGCCACAGACTTTTGGCATGTTCCTTAGCCTCCTCGTGCCTCAGTTTCCCATCCCTACCATAGCACGGCGGTGTGGCGAGGATAAATATCTGGAAAATTGGGAGGCACTCAAGTACCTGGGAGAGACGGGGCACAGATTGGAAATATTCAGAAGGAAGATGCAAAAAGCTGCCAGGTCTGCCACTCATTCAGCGACTGGCATTAAGACACCCGGGGGCCTGACCCAAAGCCCTTTAGAAATCAACGGGAGTCATTCCACCTTTGTCAATGGGTTTGGATCAAGGCTAGAGACTATAGCATCAACCGTATCATGCTAAAATGAGATCGTGCCTTGCAAACTCAGCTCTGTGCTCTAAGGTACATGATGTGCCCCCCCACCACTGGCATAAGCAGGGCCAGAATTCTACATCGGGTCAGTTGCAGGAGAGAGTATTAGAAACAGGGGGGCTGCCCCTCCGCTCCCCGACACTGGCTTTCCAGCAGTGCAGCTGCTTCTGATTTACAGCCGGGGGGAGCAAGAGGCGCATCAGGCCCGTTTGTTTCATTGCACGATTTACGTCTCTGTGCAAAGGGTCTTCTCAGACATGCAGCATGAGTCTCGGTCTCTCTTGCATCATCTGAGTTTGTGCAGAGCACTGAAAAATCAGGACGGACCCAGCTGTGTCTGCCTGCAGCCAAACTCATTGTAAACAATCCCAGCGATCAAACTGCCTGAAAACATGGGGGTCCTTTCCCAGATCTGCCCACTCACGATAACACGAGACGCCACTCACTGTAGATTGTGAAAATCTTCGTGACTGGATCATTCCTCTTCTTTCTTGTGAGACACCTAACAAAGGTGACATTTAAACTTCCATCACTAGACTTCAGAATAACCAATTCATTGAGCTAAATGGGGAAGCTCTCTCAAAGCTATTGTCTTGGGCTGTCCGCAGGCTCAGGCAGACGTCATTCCTTCATGTCACATTTTGCAGGGTATCTTCACCACCATAAGGCTAGAGGCTTAATTATTTTTAAAAAATGAAAGCTGAGATTGTGGAACACAGGAATGTACCAGCCCCCTCCCACCCACCCACCCCCCCCAGCTAGCACGAGCTGGCCCAGTTCGACCCCTGCAAAGGCCTGATGGAAGCTGCTAAGAAACTGTCTTTAAAGTCTGGGGGTGGGGTTGGTTTACACCTGCCTGGATCCCTGCTTTGTTCATTCATGTGGCTTTGATTTCTTTTTGCCTTGGAAGGTTTAATTTCTCCGTGTTTTTATTTGAACCCACCCCCAGAGAGCTGGTCCTTATGTTTGAGCATTTGCACCGAGTCCGCAACGGAGGAGTTAGGAATTCAGAGGTGAAAAGGTTGCCTGATGGAGCCCCACCACCATATCACTCCTTCACCTCTGGCCAGAAAACCATCGCCCCTGCTTTTTGCTCTGGGGAAAGGTAGGGTGCCCCCAGCTACCGCTCCTTGGTGTGTCCTTTGTCTCTTCCCCCCAGTGTTGGCCCTGTGCGCGTGTTTGTTGCCAGTGCTGGTCTCCTCCTGTCTCCTGAGCGCGGTTTGGCTTTTGTCCGTGTTGGTGGCAGATGTACCCCCGGCTGGCTCCTGGTCTCCCTGTAGTGGCTGGACCATGTATTGAGGTTTATGTGTCTGCTAATGAATCCTAGCTGACGGACCTAGTCATTTAGTTCAGGCACTAGAGACTTGTGCTTTTCAGATTCAAAGGTCGCAGGTTCAGTCCCCACAGACAACTCACGCAAGGGGGTCACACACTCGTGCACAGATCACCCCTAATCCACCTGGCTGTCTTCTGTGTTCCCAGGGGCTCTCCAGCACCCAGGGGGGAATCCAGAATCCCAATAGAATGCCCGAGGTGCTAGGATTCCAATCGCCCAAAATAACTAGCATTCCCTGTGCTCCATGGCTCTTAGGGTCTGTCTACACTACTGGGATTGCAGCTCGAGTAGACACACCCATGCTAGCATAGCTGCAGATGGTAATGTTGATGTGGCAGGCTGGGCTGTACAAGTGCACCACGGAGCCTGAGTCCTTGTGCTGCAGAAGCCCACGTCCGTGCATCTTGCAGTTAAAACCAGCACAGGTCTGTCTGCTCCAGCTGCAGCCACACCTCCCGCTGCCACGCAGACGGACGCTGAGAGTCCGTGCAGCGTCCTATCATCAGACTCGCTCATAATGTTCAAACCTACCTAGTGTGCAGTAACATCACCCGGGACGTTTTAAATGGGCGACCTGAGCATATGCATAGGTGCACACCCTGAATAAATGTGTGATACATTCTAGCTAACTCCGGGAATTGTATATGTCAACGCAGTGTAACAGACAGATGGCCCTTCTGCTCCCTTATCCATGGCCAACACCTGATGCTGCAGGTGAAAAAGCAAATGCCCCAACATGCATCTAATTTTGCAGCATGCCCCTAATTTTGCGACGATATCTCGCTGGTCAATTTCTTCCTGAGCTACCACCTGAGATGGCAAAACCCTGAAGTAGGAGAAATGGATGAAACTTTAATCCTAACTAGTGATCAGATTCATAGAAATGCCTAATTCTGCTCTGAATTTTACTGAGGAATTTGCCTCAAGCTGTCTTATAGCAGTGAGTTCCACAGGTTAACCAAGTGCTGGTTTTAAAAAAAGAATTTCCTTGCATCTGTTTTTTTTTTTAAACATATTGCCTTTCCGTGTCACTGAGCGCCTCTTTGACCTGGCATTATGGGAAAGGGTAAATTAGACTGCCCTTTGCACTATGCTGTTCTATACTTTCTTTACCTCTCACGTATCTCCTCTTGCTTGTTTCCTTTCCAAATGTCTCTTTAGCCTCTCTTCAAAGAGGCTCCTAGTGACAAATACCAAGGCAGGTCAGCTCCAGTGTGCTGCAGAATGGAACCATGCATTTGAAACTTCCAGCAGAGAGGAAGGACGGTGCAAAGGTTAGGGCACTAGAGAAAAGCTTGGGAGACCTGGTTCAAGTCCCTGCTATGTCTCAGGCTTCCTGTGTGATCTTGGGCAAGTCACTTAGTCTCTCTGTGCCTCAGTTTCCCATCTGGAAAATGGGGCTAAGTGGGAAGGACTCTCTCACAGGGGTGCAGTGAGGATAAATACATGAAAAGATTATGAAGTGCTCTGAGATCTGATGCAAAGTGCTAGGTATTATTAGTGTGAGGTATTGGAAGTGCTGGGTGTCCATGGGTTGTGATGTCTCCATGACAGCGTGCGATTAATTGGTTGCTTACGTATTATTCTTAATACACTATCTATGTAACGGTGTATACTCAGGGATGCTCTGTGGAGGTTAATTCGTGAGCAGGAGTGGGTGCTAGGAAGGAAGGAGGCTCTCCCGCTCTGGCGACACGGCTTCCCCTTGGGTTAGAAGTCACGCAAAGTCGGAGGCAGAGCCCAAAGCGCTGCGGTAATCGCAGCAGGAAGGAGCTAAAGCTGGTACTGCGGAGTGAGAGGCAGCTAGCTGTGATGACCAGCGGCTCCGCAGGACGGAGGAGGAGGGGACCTCCTGGGTTCAGAGCACCGAGTTTGTAGGCCATGGACACAGGCTAGAGGACAGGCCAGCAGGGATTTTCAGAAGCACTCGGCATTGGCCAAATTCTGCTCCCATTGAAACTGGGGGAGAGGGGGCCTGAGTGCTCTGGGGAGCCCCTCCCTGTGTGACTGGAGGTGCTGTTCCCTGAGAACAAGGAAATTGCTTCTCTCTAGTGTCCTGAGCTAGCTTTGGTCTTGGGGGAACAGGTCGCTTGCGAGGGTGTTGCATCCCCCCACGCAGGGTACGAAGGTTAGGGTTGCATGGATCCCAAGCATGTGATTCCCCTGCTGTTCTCTAGCGGCCCCACAGGGTAATACACACACACTCCCATGACTTGCCCTGGGCTTTGCTCCTGCCGGGTCCTAATTCCTCTCCTAGTTTTCTTCCCCGACTCCAGCTGACCTGTGCAGGGGGCTGTTCTTTGCCAGGCCTCCTTCCTTCATCTGAGGCAGCGTTTGGTTGAAGTGGGCAAGTGCCTTTCTCTAGAAAGCACCATTAGGAGTGGCACATTTGATAGGGTTACCAGGTGTCCCGATTTTATAGGGACAGTCCCGATTTTTGTGTCTTTTCTTATATAGGCTCCTATTATCCCCCAGCCCCTGTCCCGAATTTTCACACTTGCTGTCTGGTCACCCTACCATTTGATGAGCATAAATCCGGAGTCCACAGAAGGGGTGCCCCCACCGTGACGGGGATGGGGAGATCCGGAGAGCTGGAAGGTCTATTAACTGCCATTAGCATCATGGAGTGGAATCAGGCTAACCATGGAGACTTGCGCGTTTGCTGTGGGGCCTGGCTAGGTGGCTCTCCGAGAGCCCCTGGCATGTCCCCGGTCGTCTCTAGTCAATACCAGCAGTACAGAGCCCTGGGCTAGGATGAAAATGAACGTAAAAGCTGGTGAATGGAAGATTTTCCTTCCACTCCGGGGCTTAAGAAGCTGGAAGAAACCCACCCCCCAGAGCGCTCGTATTGGGACCTTCTGGGTGACGGGAGGTTCAGGGAGATGCAACATGGAAGACACCGGCCAGCGGTTGCTCTCAGCTGGATGGGGGAGAATGGAGCAGGAGGCCCTGGCCTCTGAGAGCTGAGCACTATTTTGGCCAGTACACAGCCAGTCTACGATGCTTGTGAAGTACCCAGGTGTGTGTCAAACAGCCTGTGAAATCCCAGCTGGTTCTTGGGTTCGGCCCCTTGGCAGATGTGTCGCCTGGATGGTGCGAAGCACTCGTCCATTTCTGACCCAGGTGCGTCATGATGTCTCAGAAGGATTTGTGGGACTCCGAGGAGCAGGGACAAACCCGTTAAATTAGGAGAAGCTGGCTCGGCTCTCGGAGCACCGGACTGCTCTAGTTTTCATTAGAGCTGATGCATGATGCCAGGAATAGAGGGGGAAGGAGACTATCCCCACCACTTAACTCCTCCAGACCTCTCACCTTTCTTTGGTGAGCCATAATTACAAGGCCCTGATTCGCCTTCAGCTACTCCTTAGTCATGACATGCTTCTGCAGAGGGCTGGTCCACTGTGCCTAGCAGGGATCCGAGTGAAACCACCTGATAACCGGCCCTCCAGCTCCAAATTGGGGAAAACACTGAAGGATCCATCTAGTAAGTGTCCTGCAAAGACAGAGATTGCCTTGTGGTGACACCGAATGGGCCCAATCCTGCATTCCTGATGTGGGTGTGCGGTGAATGCAGAATCAGGCCCTAGCGGTGAAGTAATGACCCTGGGGTTTTGTGACTAGAAGCTGCAGTAGAGGAGACAGTGGGGGCTCATGATGAAGTCTGCATGCCGGGACTTGGCCTTGCCTTCTGCCCCATGTGCTCACTTGCAGCAGATTCAGTGTCTGAAGGTAGCATCCAGGAAACATGCGGTTCCAGAGTAATGCTGTGTTTGGAAGAACACAAAAAGAACTAAATAGCCCCAGGCAAACCTCAAAGCAGTGGTTCAAACTGGCTGTAATTCAGAGCAGTCTGCAAAGTGAGACAGAAGCCTAACAAGAACTGGCTTTTCCTTCGAGGAAAGCTTCCAGGAGGCAGCCCGGTGTAGTTAGAGCCCACGGCTGGGGGTTGGACAATAGGAATTCTGCTCCTGTATTGCCTTTAGCCTCAGTTTCCCATCTGGAAAATGGGGGGAATGACACTGACCCCCAACATCTGTGAAGAGCATCGAGGTCTTGGGATGCGAAGGGCTGAGTGCTGGGATGATCACTGCACCCTGCTTCCGTTCAGGCTGGAGACACCCAGGTCAGAACCTCTCCAGCACATGGTGACGCTCCCTCCCTTTTCACCAGGCACGGTGAACATGAACAATTACTGAACGTTGAAAAATGGAACTTTGGTCAAACCTCCCAGAAGGTTCGTTTGCAAGTCTCTGGAGACGCTGCGAGTTCGTTCCTGTTCCCACGGAGCCAGCTCCCTGGGCCCTAGGGCGAAATGCAGGATGAATCTCTCTCCTTGTCCTCCTGTCATCTAGAGAAGATGCCATCCAGCCCTCCCCCACACACTCCTGGCCTGCTTCCCTGGAGGCAATGCACAGGAACTGAGCATGGCACTGCAGTCCCACAAGCCTGGGTACTCTGGGCTGCCGAATCAAAGGGGGCAAGGGAGCACTGAGTCAATTGCTGCCCACCCCCTGGGCGCTGAGATGAGAGAACCCCATCACTGTAACACCAGAGTTCCCCGTGGTGGGGCCTCGGGCTGGGGGCGTGCTTGAGGGTATCTGGAAATCTACAGGTATTGCAATCTCAATGGGCCAGTCCAACGTAGCATACGGATCGGACTGGGCCTAGGTGAGATGCTGTTGGAAGGATCCGTGTGTCCCCCCCCCACCTGGCCCCTATGCTAACATCGCCTCTCATGACATTATCATCTTCTTTTTCTCTCCTTCCCCTCTCCACCTCCCTGCCATTTCTCTTGCATCCCCATTCACTCCCAGAAGCTGGAAAGAGGAAGACGCACCGCCCCCCAGGTGTTTACGTCTCAGGTAACCTTCCTCTTAAAGCCACAATGCTTGTATTTCCCTTCCCCCCCCCCCCCCCCGCCCAAAGAGTCACCATGCGGTAGGTTCCCTCCAGAGGTTTTGACCTTCTTCAGCCGCTGCTCCAGGAAATGTACTCGGGGCCAGGGAACCCATTTGGGGGGACCAGTGGAAAATGACCTGTGTGGTATTGAAAGAAATGTTGCCAAGTAGCTTGTGATCAAAATTTTGATCTGTCCTAAGATTGCTACAGTAGCCTGGAGATCGGGGGGCATGCGGGGAGTTGCTCAGATTCAAAATGTTTTTGTTTTTGTTTAATATCCATCTAACGACCTGTTTTTATTTAATATCCATCTAACGACCTGTTTTTACAGAGAGCTCCGTTGCTAAGAAATTTGACACACCCCCTCCTTCCTTCCTGAGGGGGAAATGTGGTGGTGTTTATGTAGGACCTACACAAACTACAGTGCTTTGTGCTCCTTGCCTCTTACACACAACGGGTGCGGTTTAGCCGATTCCAAACTGTACCACGGGACCTACCCAGTGCACCTTAGGGGGCCCTGGTCGCTCAACGCCATCAGTAAGATCTTAGCTTGAAATAAAATCTAGGGAACTGCCATGATGCCCCCTGCAGGGTAAGGTCAGAAGGGAAAGCCATTTGTCTCTCCTCGGAGCAATCACTGGTGGGGTCACTCCTGCCCCAAACACCCCGGGGTCACAGCATCTTGGGTCGCTTGGCTGCAGTTCAGGTGGTTTGTCACGCCTGCCTCGGAAGGCCAGAGGTCTCTGCGGGGCCTCACATGGGGGTGAGGAGAGGCGTGCCCTAGCTGGTGCCCGCTGTTTGGCCCTCTCTCCTCGGAGGGTGTTTAACTGTGGCCCAGGGCTCTGCCCGCCAGTCAAATTGTCCAATGGCTTTTTGTTTCGATATATGGGGCTCTTTAGGGGAGATGCATCAAACCTTGACAAGGGTATGGGCAGGGCCCTCGCGGGCTCAGAGCCCACCGCTGACACCACGTTGAAGAGCTCAGAGGAGAGAGCTGCAAGGGAGAATCTGTTCGCCTGGGCTTTGTAGGACCAGATTATGCCATGTATTCCTGAGGGCCACCTGCTGGCACCTTCTCTGTTAACGATCTCCTCCCATGTACACAGCCCTCTCTCGTTGACAGAGCACCCTCCCGACGCTCTTCGTATCCACATGAGCCCGCAAGGAACAGGACTCGCAGGGTCCAGCCTCACCTTTGCATTGGTGGCTTTGCTGCCGGGGAGATGTTTCTCGCTGGACGCTGCTCTCCTTTTCCCAGCCAGGAGGTGGCGATGTCCTCGCCCAGTGCCACTGCTCCAGGCCTCAGCAGAGCCGGGTTCCGAGACTGCCCCCTGGACTGCACCCCTTTGTCTCACTAACTTTCTCTTTCTTTTCTTCTGTATCTTTTATTCTTGACCCTCTAGCCAGATCTTTAGTAGTAAACGGAATTTCTTTCGGATTCCTGCCAGCTGGAAACAGAGGTATCGCGTGCTTGGATACGCTTCCCATGACTTGTTTGGGGGCCTCTTTTTGCTTTGGGGGCAGAGCCCATGTGGAATGCAGCAGATTGCTGGGGATGTGCATGATGGTCCCTCTGTGCCTTGCAACGAGGGCTGCGGTAATGGAGATATGCCTGCTCTCCTGTACGTAGACTGGTGCATCTCCAGTGCAGCTGTATGGGGGAATTAGGTGTATCAGTAGAGATGGATCAAAACTTGCAGCATTGGAAGAGGCTTGTGATCTAGTGATCAGAGTACAGGGTAGGCTCTAATGCTGGCCCCTTCTGTGGCCTTGGACTAGTCACTTCACTGCTTTGTGCCTCAGTTTCTCCATCTGTAAAATGGGGATGCTGCTGACTGGCATCATGACAGTGGATTAGCTGAATGTGTTGGAAGCACTGTGCAAGTGTTTATCCAACCCCCATAATACACCTTGGGAGTCTGGATAAAACCTGGATCCGCACCCCAACCACACTGGGGTTTTGTTCTGCAAAAGATCAAAACCTGATGGAGGAAGTTCTGCAAATTCCAAATCTGTCTGGGTGTGTTCTCCATCTCTGCCTTTAACCCCATGAAATGCTGTGCTGAAAATCTACCCTGCGGCAGTTCTGTGGGTGTTTGAATACAAACCATTTTTGGAATGACTCTTAGCTATTCTAGATTGCTTCGTTCAACTGCTTGGGGAGGAAATGAGAACCCAGAGCCCCCGCTCTCTGCAATCTGCCCCTCTACTACAGCCCCTTGAATTCTACTTCTACCTCCCATCTCACGTAACACCCCATCGTGGATTAGCAAATGGACACTCAGAAGCGCAGCCAGTGGGAAATTTTCCAGTGGAATCAGTTTCCACTGGCAAATGCTGCGTCAGCGGAACTGAACCATTTTGTGGGAACGTTATTGATTCCGTTGCCCTTTCAGCAGGAAAGTCTCCAGCCCTTTCATTTAGACGTATGCAGGTTTATGTTAATAATTCATGATAGGATAGAAAAGTCAGAACAACGAAGTGGCCGCGAAACGTTTTCACTAGGTGGAAATGAAACATTTTGGAACGTTTCCTTGGGCGAAAAATTCCAAGATTTTTGCTTCTCGACCCGGTTTGAGATGAAACCACATTTCCAAATCTCAGAATGGGTGGAAATTCTGCTTTGGAGCCAGCTCTGCTCATGAGGTTTTAGGCTCCCCAGAGCAGCCGTATTAACCCCAGTTTCTGCCCTTCCCCACCCGGCTGGGAGCCAGTTCCCAGGAAATGGGGCAGAAGAGTGTGCACTGTCCTATCCAGTTAGGATAAAACCCAGCCCCCTTCCCTCATTTGGTGGAAGAACGGGGGTTGGTGGGTAGAGTTGCATGCAGCTTGTAGCTTAGGGGAAGGAGGAGCTGTCAGAACTGCTGGGTGCGGCAAAACAACCTACAGTGCAACCCTCGAAGAGGGGCGGCTTCCCCGGCTGCATCAGAGTCTACAAGTATACAGAGTAGCCCCCTGAGCTGGCTTCTCCTGGGAGCAAGGATGGCCGTGTGGTTCAGCCACCTCACTGGCCTGGCACTGGCTTGCTGTGTAACGTCGTAGGGCGAGTCAGCTCGCGTCCGAGGATACCGGCTATGGAGAAGCTGTGGGGAGAGAGTGCCAAGCCCTGGGCCACCAGCGTCTCTTTGGCCGGGCTTATTCCATGCTAGCTGAGTGGCTACTGAACTGTGTATGTGCTACGACTTCGCCTGGCAGGCCGTATGCCCACTCCTGGCCACGGAGGGGGGGTGTCCTGTTCGTGGGTTGTCTGGCCTCAGACAGAGGTCATGCCATTGCTAGTGGGAACCCCACGCCCCGGGACCAGATGCTGCCATTTGGAAGGCTAGTGAATCGCCCATCGTGCACTGATGAGAGAGGGAGCCCTGGCCAAAATCCATGATGAATCTGAACAGGGGTGATTAATCTCCGCTGGGCTGGGCTGGGCCAAGGGTGCTCTGTCCCGTGTTTGATCCAGACTCCTGTATGGGATCAAGCCGGTCTTGAGGAGTGGGGGAGAACTGAAGTCCCGAGGCCTTTGGGCAGAGGGTTTGGAGACCCAACCTTGATATTCTATCTTAATTCCCATTTGCTGGAATGCAGATGCTCCAACCACCAAGGCTCAACTGTCCCTCCTATCAGAAGGTTAGTGGAGTAAAGAGCAGGTCAGGACACCTGGGTTCTATTCCCAGCCCTGATTTGTTCTGTAGCCTTGACCAGGCTGTTTAATGGCTCTGTGCCTCGGTTTCTCCATCTGTAATAAATCTTCCCTACCTCCAGGGGGAGAGATGAGGTTAAATTAACAGTAGAGTGCTTTGAGATCCCCGGATGAAAAGTGCTAGGGGAGGGCACTGTGGTGGTGAATGTCGCAAATTTTGTGTGTGTGTGTGCAAAGTGATCAATTTTCCCCAAGAATGATCAGGACCCCCCCCCCCTCGCCCCCTCCCAATCTGGATGAAAACCTGAAAATGTTTTTCTGTGAGCGGTCGAATCCTGCAATGGGCCACGCTCTAAAGCGTTCCGGGGATTGGGGGATGTTTGCGGGTTGTCTCCCGTCTCTGGCTCAAACTTAGTGTCCCTCCCCCTGCCTTTCCATTCCAAAGAGACCGAAGCGGAAATGGTCATGTTGTTCTCTCCACAGCGAAAGGGCCGATCGAGAGACCGAACCGATCGCTGATGACAAACCACCAGGCCCCGCCCCTCCTGTTCAGTATTGATCATGGGCTGTAGGGCTCTGCCTCCGTTTTTGCATGGTATGTGGCGGTCGTGCTTGCTGGCATGCGGGGGATCTGCCCGCGACGTGCTGGTAGAACTCGGACAGGTTTGGGTGGGTGGGGAAAGGGATTCAAGAGACGTTCTGGAACTGGGCGGGGCTTTTGGAGGTTTACGACCCAGCGGGAACTTCTAGAACTTTGTGTCGCCACCTCTCTCTCCACTCCCTGATCCCGGAGCAAAACCGGAGCCTCTCAAAGTTCTAAAAGGTTCTAGGTTCTGGACCTGACAAACTCCCAAACGTTCTAGAGCCCACCAGGCTTCCAGAAGCTGCAGATGAGGCCTGCGGGGTATCCCTCGCTCGTCCACGCAGCTTTCTCTACCGGCTTGCGGGAGAGGGATGCAAGCTTCAGTGGAAGCTCTGCATTGTGAGCCGTATCCCAAGCCCACTGAGGTCCAGATGGGCTTGGGATCCAGGCCGGCGACTGCTCCCTGTGATGGATGTTCTGTGCGCCGGGGAGCCAGCTGCTTGGAGTCAGAACATGATGCTGCTCATGGGAAGATTTGTTTGATTTGAGCCCTCTGTGGCTGTGCCAGGCCCACTCCCCCAAACCTGCACGTCCAAACACGTCCTCACCATGTTTCCAGTGGCCTGGGCACACCTGTCCCGTTCCACGTCACGTGCGGCTGTCGCCATTCTCATCCTTCCCTTTGTTTTCAGCCTGTGCAGTAAGTACTAAGGTTGGGTCTGGGGCTTAGAGTCCTGCTGTGTTGCAAACTCCCATTGTCCCTTAGCACCTCCACCTTCTTCCCCCTCCCCGATTCCGATGAGGGTTTTGTCTTACAAGCAAACCCTAGACATGAGCCTTTCTGAGATTCTGCTCGCTTGGCCTTCATGGGCTCTCCCCCTCTGCTTTCCTCTCGCTCCAAACCTTGCTGAATTGAGGCCGGGCTGACTTCCCCTCCGTACTTGTCTTTACTACCCCATCCACCCTTTGGGCCCCACTGGATTTTATGAGGATGTCACTGCAGTCTGGAAACCCACCACAGCAAGGACAATTCCAGACATCGTCCACATCATGAATTATAAAGGGAATCCTGCAAAAAGGCCGCCATTAGGCGTAGGCAGTGCCTGGCAATGTTGGGCCCTGGCCTCTTAAGGGCTACCGCAGTACAAATGATGATGAATAGTAAAACCAGGCCCTGATTCTCCTCTTGTGTGCGCTGGGGGGAACTCGGCTGACTTCAGCAGCTGATCTACCCCTGTGTCAGAGACAAGAATCAGACTACTTGTCTTCGCCCTCCATTGTCTGCCAACACCCTCTCTGGAATGTGTTTCCTTATTGATTTGTGTCTCTTTTCTAACCCTCGTTTTGACCCTTATTAATTTTCCATCTCCGTCGCAGCAAACATAAGTCTCTTTTGCTGTATTTTCTCATTTGTCCATGGCCATCGGGATTGTGTGGGTGAGCTAACTGCTGCGGCTCTCCAGCCACAAGGGGTGAGCACAGAACATTGTTTTGGTGTAGGTCCTACATAAATGAGGTCTGTTTTTAATACATACCTTCCGCAGAGGGGCAGATTTAAAAAACAACCACAAAAGGGGTGAGAATTTGGAAGATATTCCAATGGAGGGAAATTAGGGCCTGGCCCACCCAAATAATGAATTGCCAAAGGGTCTCTTTCCCCCTCGGCAGGCTGGGCAGAGTTTAGCCATCAGCACATCGTGTTGGTTTGTCTAGTCCTCTGCTGAGAGCCTGACCCGGCTTCTTAGTCCAGGGTGAGAGGTGGGAAGGTGGAGACAAGCGAATCAGCTGGGTATTATTGTAGGCTGCAAGGCCCTGATTGAGTGAGGCAGTGGTGAAGGTGACTTTCCCCATTGGACGTGCTTCAGGGCATCGGCGGGGCTGGTGTCACTACTGATAGCTTGGAGTTAGCTCAATGCCACTGCTTCCCCAGGCTGCTTTGCAGTGACACGCACCTCGGTACATCCAAGACACAAGGATCTTCCCTGACTCGTAGGGGCAGTGCCCTCGGGGCTCGGCTCGCTATCTCAGCGAAGCCTTGTGCCGAAAGCCCTGCCAGAAGCAGGGGTTTGTCTGTCTCCTCCCCTCCCTGCTGTCTCCAGTCTATCTTCATTTCATACCAGATGGTTTCTCTTCCAGCTCCCATGTGCTCTGTCTGTGTCTCTCCACCCTCCACCCCATCCTGTGTCCCCTCCCCACTGGTGCTCTCTTTGCTGCCAAAAAAATGTTTCAACTAAAATACCCAGACGCCCGTCCCCTGTTAGATAATCGGGGCAATCATTCCTTCCGTTCAGCGCATACAGGCGCTGGGCTTTTCGCACCATAAACCATCTGCATTCACAAAGGGCCCTTACCCAGAGCAGCACTGAAGGACGGGGCTTTTAGCCCATTAAAGTCAACAGGACTTAAGCGCTTGCTGAAGTGTTTTCCTGAATCACGCACACACACACACACATTGCACCAGCCACTGGAGTCTGCACCCTAACTGCAAAGTTTGCAACAAGGATCTGACTTCCCTGCCCAACTCCAGGCTCTTTGGATCCAGGGATTCTCACTTGTGCAAGGCGCTCGTGGTGCCGTTGTGGCCGGGGCCAGCTTCAGGCGAGCCCCATTCACGAGCCCCCAACACTAGGGCAAAGCCTGAGCTCTTCCCTTGGGCAAACTCCACGTGGCTTTACTGGAGAGGGCCAGAGCAAGGAGCTCGGGGTCTGGCCCGATCCAGTAGGAAGAAGCTGCATGTGCCCCTCCAGGTGCCCGGCGGCAGCTCCCCCTCCCCAGGCTAATGCCGGCTGTCCTTCCTCCCCGCCACTCCGCAGCAACAAAATGGGCATCAAGGACCGCATCCGCCTGAACAACTCGCAGAGGCAGGGCAGCCGGGGAAAGCAGCACCTGGCCCCGCCCATGCGCCGCTCTCCCAGCACCGAGAACGTGCAGGAGGCCTCCAGCCCCACCAAGGTGCAGAAGAGCTGGAGCTTCAATGACCGCACCAGGTTCCGGGCATCGCTGAGGCTCAAACCTCGGCCACCAGTGGAGGGTAAGTCCCATTTCCCCCGCCCCCCATTTCTGTTTTGCACCCAAGTCTTTTGAATGTGAGTTGCCCTTCAGAATGGACCCCCCACTGCCCTCCATGGGCAGTTGTGTAGCTAGAGCGCAGGAGTGGCAGCCAGGACGCCAGGCTTCTTGGCCACTGACTTGCTGTGCAAGGAAAGTCACCTGCCACTCTATGCCTCAGTTTCCCCCTCTGTGGCTTGGGGATGGGCCTACCCAAGAGGGGGATGGGGAGCCTGTGAAGACGCTGACATGCTGGAAGGTCATCAGTTGGGAGGCGCTAGAGAGGAGCCTGGTGGTAAATGCCACAGGACCCGCGGCTGAACCACGTAGAACCCGTGTTATTCATGGTGAACCAAAGGAGACCTTGAACCCAGACCCGTGCATGGGCGGAGAGAGGACTGGGGTGAGGATTGCTCTAAGGGAGATTTGCACCCCGTGAAACACACCTGAATTGGGAAGGGGGAAGCATCCACAGCCCTTTATGGGAAGTCCCTGTTTTCTGTCCTCAGTTGACGGCCTGGTGGAGGAGAGCACCGAGGAGAAGGGCTACCAGTGTGACTTGACCTTCGAGGACATCATGCCAGCTGTGAAAACGCTCATTCGGGCTGTCAGGTGAGTCCAGCTCGCCAGCCATCCCTGCGCCCACCCGCCCACCGGTACCAGTTCTCAGCCCGAGGCAGGGAGCAGGCCTGGCAATCGTTGGCCACCTCCATCCTGCGGGAGGTTTGGGTTGGGGTCTCTCCCAGGCAGCTGCCCCTGGGTGGGCTCTCGGAGATTCTTCATTAGGGTTTTGGCTGCTGCGGCAGGAGAACTCGTGCCTGTCTGGCTGTTAACCTCCATAGGTCTTGGGCTGGTCAGGGTAGCCAGCGAGTGGGGAGGGTGACGGGAGGAGAGCAGGCGAGCTCTGTGCCCAGCCTCTGAGGCCGTGCTAACAATTTGCCCTGAAACCCTCAAACGATAGAGTGGCCCGTTCCACAGTTCATGCACCAGCCCTCAGCAGCATCCAGCTCTTCGCGCTCCAGCCCAGGCCCCTTTTGAGCCAGATGCTGGGAATTTTGAGCCAGGGTGGCGTTCTTTTTCACATATCCAGTGTGTGCCAACAGCAAATGGCATTTCCCCTTGTCTCCGTGCCAGCCTGACTGTTGCTCCTTCCAAGCCTCAGAGGGTCCAGGGTCTGGCGGGGAGGGGCAGGCTGAGGTTCTTGTCAAGGTGGGCTCTTGCCATCCTTGGAACTCCCTGCACCTGCGTGCCAGAGCCGTGCATGCCGAGGGCTGGCCAGTCTCGCCCCCTCTTTCTGTTTCATTGATTTGCCAACAGGTTTGTTCCCCGATAAGGGACCCTGACACAAATGACTGGCTCTGCTAAGCAGGCGCGTTCTGGCTTCAGCGTAGCCACCTGAGCCCGGGGAGCTGAGCTATGCAGCACCCAGGATCGAAAGGAGCAGGCGGACGGGGAGCAGGGTGGGTGGAGACGCTGGTTTGGTTGCAGAAGCTTTCCTGCTTTTATGTGCCTGGGTTAATTCTTTTTCTGGTCTTAAAACCCACATGCACGTGCCATACTGCAGACACAAGCCAGGCCTCCCTGGCCGCTCCCCACCCATCTGAAGAAGCCGCCCTGAATAGAGCCATTGTTAACAGCCATGCCACTGGAACAGGGACCTTGCGATCTCTAGCCACCTCTTCTGGCTGGGTTGGGGCACCGAGGCTGTAGCAATGCTGTTGTAGCATGGTGGGGGAGACTGGGAGAAAGGGTGGGGGAAGATATGTGGAAATACCCCCCCCCCCCATACAACACATTGGCTCTCTAACGGGGAGGTGACGTGGGGCATTAACAGGAGTGAAGTAGATGCTGTGAGCTCAGAACACATCCTTACTGATTGGAGCAGAGGGCTGGGCACCTGGATTCTATTGCCAACTCTGGAAGGAGAGTGAGGTCTAGGGTTAGAGCGGGGAGGAGGCTGGGAGTCAGGACTCCTGGGTTCTATCATGGATGCGAACAGTTGCGGGTGCAATTCTCTCTGCATTTTTCAAGACCAGCTGCTGTGACCTGACCATTGCAATAGTTCTTTGCACCCACAGCCCGGGCACTTACCTGCCGGCTGACAGTTCTTGTGCCTGCAGTTTGCTGGCACTGAACAGGGGGGCAGCTTTGGAGAAATCTTACCCTGGCCTTTTCCCTTTTCCCGAGTTAGCAGCAGGCTCTCCTCCATGCTGTGACATGTCCTAGCCCTGGCCAGTCCAGCAGCGTATGCATGCCTTCCTGCAGCGCCGGCCTTTGATCCTCCAGCATATGCATGTCTAACATCGCCAGCTAATTGAAGCCACTTAACACAAGCTGGAAGAGCGCAAGCCCGAGGTTCCCAAGTGGCTTGTGCTAGCTCACGATGCCTGTTTGCACAAGAGATGCTCCCCCACCCCATCCTTCCGTCTGCGGAGTTATGAAATTCTCCATCACGGCCCTGCTAATGAGCCCTCTCCGCCAGCATCTCTCCCTCCGCTGCGTTAGCAGCATTGCGGCTAGTCGTTTGACAAGGAGCCGGTGACTGACGAGCCAGGGTTCAGGGAGCCAGTTAGAGGCTGGGTTATTCTCTTCTCCTCTGCTTCCTTCCCAGAGCAGGTTTCACTGTCATGGAAAACAGGCAGGCAGGTTATTTCCCACGGCAAGAGAAGAGCGGCCCAGGGTGCCAAGATCCGGTAACTGCTCTCAACATCTTGCAAAGCCCAGAGAGATCGTCTCCCCTTCTCTCCCAACACTTGCAGTGTGCCTGTTTGTTCCCAGGCTCTGAAAAGAGTGCAGCTGGGACAGACACGGCTAGCCGCACACTGCACCTCTGGGCGTCAGGGGTGCAATCGTGTCACTTCAAAGAGTGTAACTTGCACCCTGAGAGAGCTGGAAGAGATGACAGACCATTCTGTGGTCATGGTCTCCAAGGGGAAAGCCCTTGTGCCAAGAGGTCGCTCTTACACTGAAGATGGTAAACCCTGGAGTCATCCAGACTTCCAGTGGTGGGGAGTTCCACTGTCCCATCTCTGGGGACCATGGCTTAAAGAGGGCGCTGGGGCCTTGTTTGACCTCAGCTGTCCTGGTGGGTCCTAGGGCCTCTGAGATAGCTGGGCCATGACCCGCGTCAAGTCTGTTGCTCAGACCCGTCCCCACCCCGCCCCTCTCTCAGGCAACCCCTTGTGTCCCGGCAGGATCCTGAAGTTCCTGGTTGCGAAGAGGAAGTTCAAGGAGACCCTGCGGCCCTACGACGTCAAGGACGTCATCGAGCAGTACTCAGCCGGCCACCTCGACATGCTGGGCCGCATCAAGAGCCTCCAGTCACGGTGAGCTGGCTCCCGCTGCCCAGCCCACAGGGGCCTGTCCCATAGCTGCTTCCGCAGCCCCTGGCCAGGCGGGATGCGGAGCCGCATAATTCAATAGCTGACGTCACGCACGCTGGGCGAGTGACTCTGTGACCCGGCCACGCACCCAGGGCAGGGCAGGTGCAGAGAAGAGGTTTGACTCTGCTCCCAGCCTGGCCCAAAGGCCGCTGGCTGTCAGTGAACTTTGGATTTAGCCCTTAGGCGCAGCCGTTGAAAGGTATGTGCATTGTGACGTAGGCAGGTAGGAGCCAAGATCCCATTGACAGCCCATGGGATTGAGGTGCCTTGGTCCCTAAATCATTTTGAAAGTGAGGCTTGGGTGCCTAAGTAACTCCGGCATCACAGTGCCGGGCACAGCAGAGCCGAAACACCATTAAAAATCTGGGCCTTCACCCTTTAGCGTAACCAGCAGAGGCTGGCGCTTTGAGATGCGACGCGCCCGAACCCCACTGAAGGCCGAGAAGGGTCAGTGCTTTCCCGGAGGAGGTGGCCCATCTGGGGAGCTAACGACAGCTGGACAAGGGTCAGATTCACATCGCGTGCCCTTCTCTGAGAGTATCCCGAGCACAAGGGTGTATCCCGAGGTGACTGAGTTCAGGAGAACACTTGGTGTTTGAGTCCGAACGGAAAATGCCTCTTGCCGGCGCGGTTCGCTTTGGGGCCGCCCAGACGGAATGGGTGCCATCTTGCAGGGACGAACCCAGCCAGCCCGGTGAGGCAGGCAACGCCTTGGGTCCAGCAGGAGATAGCAAGTGGGTGGGGGACGGGCAAGCCCAGAAAATCGCAGGGGAGGGTGACAGCGTGAAGGGGAGTCGTTCACATTGGGCTTAGAAGTGGGCAAGCGAAAGTGCGGCTTATACAATAAGAATCGTGCTTCCGACATTGCTCCCCCCTGTATCCCTAAACCCCAACACAGACACCCCTAAACCCAGACACTGACCCCCCTTGTACCCCTGAACCCTGACAGTGACCTCTTGAACCCCTAAACCCCAGTGCAGACATCCCTAAACCCAGACACTGACCCCCTTTCTACCCTAGACCCCCAACGCAGACACCCCTAAACCCAAAGATTGACACCCCCCTTGTACCCCTAAACCCCAACATAGACACCCCTAAACCCTAACACTGACCTCTTCTACCCTAAACCCCAAGGCAGACACTCCTAAACCCAAACATTGACCCCTCCCTTGTACCCCTAAACTCCAACACTGACCCCCTAAACCCTGACATTGACCCCCTTCTATCATAAACCCCAGTGCAGACATCCCTAAACCCTGACACCGACCCCATAAACCCTGACAGTGACACCCTTCTCCCCTAAACCCAGACATTGACCCCCTAAACCCAGACATTGACCCCCTTGCATCCCTAAACCCCAACATATACACCCCTAAACCCTGACATTGAAACCCCCCAGTACCCCTAAACACTGACACACCAAAACCCAATACTGGCCTCCCCTTCCACACTGAGCCCCTACCCTGACCCCCCCCCCTTCTGCCACCCTACACTGATACCCCTTCTACCTCTAAAACCCCAACTACCCCTACCCCCAAAAAAGGATAAAATCAAAACCAAACCCTTTGCTTTAAGCAGAATTTTGACCCCAAAAAGGGAGACGTGCCAGAGACTCCAGGGATCCCACTATTGCTATTGATTTTTCAAGGAAGGTACCCAGATGCTGTGGTGATGGGCAGCAGGATAAAACCCTAAAACAGAGAGGTGGTGGCCCCTTAAACGGCTTGAAATTATTCGTTTGGCCCTCGGGCTGAAAAGGTGCGTCCCCCCCCAACCTGTAGTGACAGGGAGTAGGAGGCCAGGCAGCCCAGACCCTCCAAGGTACCTACCGGCCGAACTCCCGTTGATTTCTGGGTCTTCCTTCTCCGAGCCTGATTCTCTCTGGCAATAAGGCCCCTTTCATTCTGAGCTCCCGCTTTCCCCCTCGTCCTGTCTTCTCACCCATAGCGTGGACCAGATCGTGGGAAGGGGAGCCATTGCGGTCGATAAGAAGACCCGGGAGAAGGGAGAAAAGTCCCTGGAGGTCGACCTGGTGGACGAGCTTAGCATGATGGGCCGAGTGGTCAAAGTGGAGAAACAAGTAAGGCTGAGGTCGGGGGGCACGTGCAGCACCGTGCATGCTCCCGAACATGCGGCCCGGCCCCTACGCTTGCCATGCCCGTATGTGTGTGTGTCAGCCGGAGAGAAACCAGCTGGCTGCCTGTCCGACCATCCACGTCCTGGGGTTGTTACAGTTGATTTGTAAAGAGAAGATAGACCATAGGTCATGTTACTTTCTTTTTCTTTTTCTTTAGCAGTCTAGAGGTTAGAGAGGGGAGCTGGGAGCCTGAACTCCTGGGTTCTATTCCCACCTCCGGGAGGTGAGTGGGGTCTAATGGACAAAGGAGAGGACTGGGAGTTCAGTTCATCATGTTAGTAAAATTCTTTCACATGTGACTTGACCAGGATTTGGACCCAACTGGCTAGAAGTGAAAAACTACTGCACCCTCCAGCCCTCTCTTCTGCTCCACCATGCAACCTGGTCCCCCCTTAATCTGGGGAGCCCCTGCTTCCCCACACGCTGAATCCCCATTCCAATTACATCAGGCCTGGCTCAATCCCCCTCCTCTTCTTCCCCATCCCCTCCAGGTGCAATCCATAGAGCACAAGCTGGACTTGTTACTGGGCCTCTATTCCCAGTGCCTGCGGAAAGGCTCCATGAACTCCTTTACCCTGGCTGCCACGCAGATCCCCAGCTTTGACCCGGACATCACCTCCGACTACCACAGCCCCGTAGAGCACGAGGACATCTCAGTGTCCGCGCAGACCTTAAACATCTCCAGGTCAGCCAGCACCAACATGGACTGAGAGGGGTTCCCAGCACAAGTGGGGCAGAGCTGGGGGACCGGTCCTGAGCCTGGTGGTGAACATTCTTGTAGACAGACACACTGATAGCTAGCAGGCAAGAAGACCAAGCCGTGAACCCAGCCAGGTTCTGGGCTGGGGACCACGGGGCCTCATCTAACGTGTCCTGATGCACTATGAGCCTCACCTTGATTTTACTTGAACAAGTCTTCCTTCTGACCGTGCACAAGCCGGAATTATTAAGCAACTAGTATTCAGCACCAGGGAGCCAGCTGGGGCTGGGACCCCGGGGGATGCAGCCGAGAGAGAGTTTCTTAAAGCATTAAACCTACAAAACCGACGAGAGAACGCCTGGTATCTAAGAAGCTCTTTTATTTATAGGATCAGCCTCTCTAGACTTTGTCCTCTGCAGGCTGTCTTTTCTGCAGAGGAAATCCCCCTCTCCCGGCACATCCCTGGTTGGGGTGGTGCTGCCCCAGTGCAGCGGGAGGGCGAGTTGGCCAGGGATGCAACGGGCCAGTGCGCCTTGTCACTCGGTCTTTTTTCTGGGCGCCTCTCCGGGAACCGTCCTTGGAATGATCTTTGACACAGGGTATGGAATGACCGAGAGCGTCTCAACTCCAAGGTTGGCAGTTCTGACCTCTTCACCAACGTACGCGGCATCCCTGAGGGTCTACGCCGTTGCCCCTCCCGGGAGCCGGAGCAGGGTGCTTACTAACAGCTATGCAAGGCTCGGTAACCCTTTACCATCCAGTGCTACACAAGGGGCATTGTGACTCGATTGAATGTGGTTTCTTCTGGACCGAGGAAATCGCTGGGGAATGGCCAAGTTTTGCCTCCCTCCCGGGTTTCCTATCTCCCAGCGAGCAGGGGCTCCGATTCCTGCAGCCATGACGGTAACTCAGTAAGCCCAGTGGAACCGTCTGCGGAGCAGTGTGCATGCACGGAGGGCCGCGTGTATGCCGCAGTGTTTCAATATGCAACCCTCGATCCCGACAGGAGAGGCGGACGAGTAGCCCGTCGGCCTAAGCAATAGGTGTTTGCCCTGCGCCCTGGGGCCGGATCCTGGGCTGCTCGAGTCAGTGGGGTTTCACGGGGCGAACGCTGTTCCTTTGGAGCCTGGCGGACAGACTCGGATGGACTTTGGATCAGGCCCTTGACTTGAAAGGGGGTAACTGGCCCGTTGGACCAAATGCAGCCCTGTTGCATGAGTCTGTGGAGTTAACAGCAGGCCTGGATCTGGTCCATTGCACCTGGCTGTTGGTGGGGGGGAGGGGTGTGCATAGGTGGGTGTCGGCACAGCCAGGAGGAGGGTAAGGATGCTGTAGCTTCATGTTAGCTCTTCTTTCCCCCCTCCACGTCTAGTCTGCCCAGCTCAGGCAGCCCGCCTTGCCCACTGTGGCTTCCGTACATCTCCTTGTGGCACGGAAGGCATCAGTAGCTTAAGGTACCTAATATCTCCAGACCTCGTTTTCCCAGAGGTGGGAACTGGATCGCTTCTCTCCTCTGCCCCCTTCTACAGCCTAACCCATCAGCTGGGCACGGGGCTTCACTTGGGGACCTGCTGTCCTTAGTCAACCAGCTTAAGTGCCTCTCAGCACGCTGGGGCTTTGCCCATAGATCCTACCCTCCACCCTGTCCCCCATTGATAGCCCATTCATTTCAAACCCTGGTCTCTGGTCCCCCAGGGGCTCCATAAAGGAGTTCACTACTGGATGGGGGCCTTAGCCCCCACTCTGGCTCCTGAAAGAGCCCTGATTTCCCTTGCACATCCTCTGTGGTCAGGAATATTCAGTATCCACTGGAGCTGACTGGGTCAGGCCTGGAGTCAGAACCCCTTCCCCGGCCTGTTTTCTAGTGGGGGTGTGACTGAAATCCAGCAGGAACAGGCTCTGGCATAAGAGGGATTTTTTTGGCCCGGAGATTTCAGTGTCATCAAATCCATCTAGGAACTGATTTGGCTTTGAACCCGGAGCCCTCTTCCCAATCCAAACACCACCGTTTTCCCAGACCTGCTGGTGCTCCCATGGGGGTGGCTGGGGCTGGGGCTGGGGCTGGAGGGGGCGCCGGGGGGTAATAGACTTCCCATAACACAGGATCTCTGCCTGGAAGGAGAGGTGGGATGCGTTTCTCGTGCCTGCGCGTTACCCCTCCTGTGCAGTTAAATGTCTTCCAGGGTCACCGTGCATGTTGTCCCCCTGCCCCTCGGTCCAAGGCAAACCCCTGCAGAGCTGGGCAGCGCTTCCCCTCCCTGCAGTTAAATTACATCAGGCACCAGCCTTCTGTGGTGGCCAAGAGCAGCTCTTGAATTTCGACATGAAGAGTTTGCATCCTCCCTCTCCCCCCCTCCCCGAGAGGCTGCTAAGGGGCAGCTCTGGCCTGCAAGGAGGCTAGAACAAGGGGTGGCTCTTGGGAATGGCTGGGCAACTGTCCAGCCTGCAAGTGCTTCAGCTGAGAGCCTGGCTCTGGAATGCGCCCTCCTGCACAGGCATGCCGCTGTGCCATTCCCTGGCAGAGCGGGGGCCTCGCCGGACCCTGGCCCCACCAATGCCTCCTTTCACCACCCCTGGGGGCTCCCTGACCTTCACAGCCCCTCTTGTAATGGTGGGGGCGTAGGTCAGGTCAAAAGGACCTCCTTCGCCCGCCCCAGCGGGTATCTAAAGGGTGGCGGGGGACGTGAGTAGAGTAACCTGTCCCCACACCTTCCAGCTGCCAGCCAGCTCCCCGGATCTACCGGCGTCGGGGTGGGAGAGACGCCTGCTGCAGGGCCGTGCACCGGAGCTCAGGCATGGGGGGCTCCCTCCCCGTTCAGCTGAGTCCCACTTGCATTTCGTGCCTAGGTAGTGCATGCCGCCCGCCCCCACGGAGACCCCTGCCCAGAGCCGGTCTCATCCCAACCTGCTTGCATGCTCTAGCATGTCTCTTGACTTGTGCACGAGACCCTCCACCCCGTGCCCCTGCCCCGATCGCGGCGCCCATCGCGCTGCGGCGTAGGAGGGCACACGCCGGCCCCCTTGCCTGGGCAGACGTGTCTCGTGTCTGTACGGGGTGGGGATGCGGTCGGGGGGGCCAAGGCTTCGGCCAAAGGAGAAGAAGTAGGAAACCCCTCCAGGCGATTCCCAGCGACCCTTGTTTCCGAGATGAAGATAGTTACCTCACTTTACTAACTTATTAACTTATTTGTTTCATTAAAGTTTTACGTAGACGGCTGCTTGCCTGCCTCCTTCTTCCTCTTCAATCCCTCCACAGGGGTGCTCCGGGCCAGAAGGGGCCGGGGGTGGACTCCCCTCAGTCGCTTCTTCGTTGCCCCCAGTAGGTGGCGCCCCAGACCCACGGCAGAGTCACTGCGGCCCTATACTGCTTTTGGACAGAGTGAAGAGGGCAACATTGCGGGGTCCCAGGCCAGCTCCACCCCGCCCCCGCAGGGTGTTGGTCACTCAGCCCAAAGGAAGTCACAGGTAGCCTGAACCGCCAGAGAATCAGGCCCCCGGTCTTGAGCTACTCCCAGCCCCCGTCGCCACGGTAAGCGTTGTATTTATTAGATAACGGCCCCTTGCACCTGGGGCGCTGAAAGCCCTTTGCCGACGCTGATTTAACCACCCAAGCCCCCTCCCCTGTGGGGCATCAGGACCCTGAGCTACAGATGGGGAAACAGAGGCATGGAGAGTAACTCACCCAAAGTCACACGAGAAAGCCCTAGAACAGAGCCCAGAAGTCCTGAAAAAAGAACAGGAGGACTTGTGGCACCTTAGAGACTAACAAAATTATTAGACCATAAACTTTCGTGAGCTACAGCCCACTTCATCGGATGCATGAAGTCCTGTCTCTCCGTTCCCTGCTCTGGTAGGCCACCCTTTCTCCTTTGGGGTGATGCACCTGGGGGGCGGCCGGGCGCGCCATCAGGGTATGTCTAGCACGGGGAGGAGACACGGAGCCAGCCACGCCCGCAGGGGGGACAATCCCCATTCCTGGGATTGGGACATGGACACCATTGGCTCTGTGGTGGGGGGCAGCACCTGGCGGAGGAGCTGGTGGTGTAATTCGGAGATGCCCCATCTTGTTTAACAAGCCCCTGCCCTGCCAGAAGCCCGGGGCTGTTGCAAAGAAGCACGTCCCCCTGGTGCAGCGCACGGAGGGCTCCAGACCCATCCCCCAGGGCTCGCAGCGGGGTGAGCGACTAGCCACAAGGGAGCTGCGCTGGGCTGAGGAATCTCAAGAATGTGAACCCCGCCTCCCTCCACCAAGGAGGCCAGGTGCAAAGGCACCTGGACCAATTCTCCCCACCCCATCCCGGTATCCGCACCTTCCCAGCATCCCCTGCTGCAGTCACTGGGCACTTGGCATTCCTTGACTGCCCGAGGGCGCCGTCTGCGTCTCAAGTAGATGGCTCACCCGAGCGCCACCTCTTCTCTGGCTTGCCCTGGCACATAATGCCCTGCTTGCCTGGCGCTGCTGAGCAGGGGTCGGGGCCACTCATCCCACCGGAGAGGGTGTTGCACAAGTACCAGGCTGGCCTGTGTCCCCCGGGGCGGGGGGAGGCACCTTTGCTCGGGCTGCTGGCAAGTTCGATCTGCTCATCGGGTCTTTGGGGAACGGCCAGCGACGGCTGGGAGAGTGAGCAGAGCGTGGGCCTGCTGCAGGCTGGGGTATGCAGCCTCATGCCTGGAGCCTGCCTGGGTGCGAATTGCTGGCTATGGTTCAGGGAGGGAGTGGAGGATACTTGGGAACTGGGGTGAGGGAAGAAGCAGGAGACTGCACAACCTGCTTCCCCCAGAGCACAACACCGCACGACGGACCCAGCATCACGGCCCTGCACAAGGTCACGTGTGCAACGCTCCACCATGCAAGTGAGCAGTGCACGGTGAGGTGGAACGCGCGTCCTCGCAGCTCCTGTTGGCCCATGCAACTCCCAGTAACGCCGCACCGAGCAACGCAATGCTACACAATGCAACACCCAGTAACGTCGCACCGAGCAACGCAAAGCGACACAATGCAACACCCAGTAACGCCGCACCGAGCAACGCAATGCTACACAATGCAACACCCAGTAACGTCGCACCGAGCAACGCAAAGCGACACAATGCAACACCCAGTAACGCCGCACCGAGCAACGCAATGCTACACAATGCAACACCCAGTAACGTCGCACCGAGCAACGCAATGCTACACAATGCAACACCCAGTAACGCCGCACCGAGCAACGCACTGCTACACAATGCAACACCCAGTAACGTCGCACCGAGCAACGCAATGCTACACAATGCAACACCCAGTAACGCCGCACCGAGCAACGCAAAGCGACACAATGCAACACCCAGTAACGCCGCACCGAGCAACGCAATGCTACACAATGCAACACCCAGTAACGCCGCACCGAGCAACGCAATGCTACACAATGCAACACCCAGTAACGCCGCACCGAGCAACGTAATGCTCCACAATGCAACACCCAGCAACACCGCACTGAGCAACGCAAAGCGACACAATGCAACACCCAGCAACACCCCACCGAGCAACGCACTGCTACACAATGCAACACCCAGCAACACCCCACCGAGCAACGCACTGCTACACAATGCAACACCCAGTAACGCCGCACCGAGCAACGCAACACAATGCTACACAATGCAACACCCAGTAACGCCGCACCGAGCAACGCAATGCTACACAATGCAACACCCAGCAACACCCCACCGAGCAACGCAATGCTACACAATGCAACACCCAGTAACGCCGCACCGAGCAACGCACTGCTACACAATGCAACACCCAGTAACGCCGCACCAAGCAACGCAATGCTACACAATGCAACATCCAGCAACACCGCACTGAGCAACACAAAGCGACACAATGCAACACCCAGCAACACCCCACCGAGCAACGCACTGCTACACAATGCAACACCCAGCAACACCACACTGAGCAACGCAAAGCGACACAATGCAACACCCAGCAACACCCCACCGAGCAACGCACTGCTACACAATGCAACACCCAGCAACACCCCACCGAGCAACGCACTGCTACACAATGCAACACCCAGCAACACCGCACCGAGCAACGCAAAGCGACACAATGCAACACCCAGCAACACCCCACCGAGCAACGTACTGCTACACAATGCAACACCCAGCAACACTGCACTGAGCAACACAAGGTGACATACTGTAACGCCCAGCAACACCTCACTGTGCTACTCAATGCTACGCAATGCAACACCCCACTGAGCAACGCAATGTGGCATAGCGGCGCAGTATGCATGGTGCAGTGCACAACCCATTGGCACCATGCAGCACAACGGTGCGATCCTGGTACTGCTTTACAAACAGAACGTACCTCCCCTTGTGAGTCTCTCCCTCCCTCCTGCATGGTGCCTGGCCGTGAGCAGCATCCACGGCCCTGGAGTGAGAGCTTCCCACGATGGAGCAAAGACAAGGGGCGGTTTCACTGGCATTCCCAGAGCCGGCTGCTGGCGAGGGGGATAGTGCCCGGGGCAAAGAGGTGGGCAGACCAGCTGCCTGTCCAGACTGGCGCCCGGCAGCGTGGCCCCACCACCAGGCCCTGGACCAGCCAGGATCAATCAGCCGGGGTAGGGGGCGGCTGTTCCTAGCATGGAGGCTTGGAAGCTCCTTCCCAGGTGTGCTCAGGCTTCCAGCTCATCCCTGCCCTCCTGCCTTTCCAAGGGGCTCCAGTTTCTAGGCTCATTCAGGCAGGGTGGAGGTGGAATCCCTCCCCCGCCCCAAAGGATGGAGAGCAGCAGGGCTGTATGCCCCCCACCATCCTTATTTTCCTCCAGCTGCTGCTGTGTAGGAACGGAGCTGGACGCGTGCAGCCTGGCTGACTTTTACATGGGTGTGATGGGGGGTGGGGGCTCCACCCGCAGGTCTGGACAACCAGCCCAGACTTAGCACAGGGCAGAAGGCTCCTCACGGCGGATCAGGGCCCGCATGAATTGTTAGTCCCAGCGGTTGCATGGGAGAGACACCTGCCTCTCGCACCGCACGGGCATCCCTCGCAGCCCCCGTCGTCGTCGTCCGTTGTCCCCCACACACACACACCCGCCCCAGGACTGTCGTAAAGGGCCGAGCCACCAGCTCCTGCCAACCTGCTTGGACAGCTGCACAGAGGCCCAGATCCTCCACCGCCCTCATGGGAGTTAGGCACCCAAATACCTTTGAGCAGCTGGGCCAGAGCTACTGCAAATTCCTTCTGTGAGAAGTGGGACTGTTCTTATGTTTCCTCTGAATAGTGTGGGGTGCTCAGTTTCCCTAGGCAGTTCTTAAGTATCTAGGGGGTGGAGTAAGGGTGTATGATCATTGCAGAGCCCTAGAGGGCATGTGTAGGAGTCTGGACACAGAGAATGGGACACCCTGTTTTGGCAACTAATGGCCTGGGCCCTTCCCCCCCTGCAAGGTGAGAGCTGAAGGGTTGGAGAACAAAGGAATCAGGTGACACCGGCCGGGAAAGGAACAAACCCAGAGGAGGGGGCTGGGGGGGTTTAGTTTGGGGCTGGCTGGGCTGGAGTGAAGTGCGCGTGGTTGTCTGGCTACTGCCCAAAATGGACCCACGAGGGGTCCCGTTCTCTCACCTGCCTTGTTTTGACTGTTCTGTCGTCTATAAACTCTGTTTTCTGGTGGCTGGGTCTCTGCTGCGTTGGGTGGGACTTGGCTTCCCGGCCCGGCGGTGTGGGGCGGGGGGCGAGGTGTGATGTCTGGGTCGACCCGGGGTGGGCTGTGGGTGTGTTTAAGACAGGCTCTCACAGAACGGACGGCTGGGGGCGTGCGGGGCGGACCCCCCCCCAGCCTCGGCCTGGCTTGCACCAACTCCCGTCAAACCCAAGGGCAGGTGGATGCTCTGGGGGGAGCACAGGAGACATCCCTTTCCTTTGCTTGGCTCGCAAAGGGGAACCATTCCAGGTCAATACCCTGCCCGCCCTGTCCGGGGTCGTGTGTCCAGCCAGCACATATGTTCCCCGCTTGTTTAGGAACAAGTCTGCCACATGCCACGTCCTTCACGTTCCAACAATGTTCTTTCCTGCACTCGCTTAACTAGTCAGCCCCGCGTCCGCCCCCCCCAGTCCGCGGATCGGCCTGGCAGGGACAATAGCTGCCTTTGACCAGCCCGCTGGGGCCGTGAACTTTTGCCGGGGCTCCGGGAAGAGGCTGGGGTTGTTTTCCAGCAGTGCTCAGCAAATCTGCGGGGTGCCCTCA